GTGCTGCTTGGCATTCCGTACCGGCACCAGGCTTTCGACGCCAAGGACGTGACCAAGGAGCTGCGTGCACGGGGCCGCAGGATAAGGCGGGTGGCGGTCAACACGACCACGCGTGCAAGGCTGGCCGGGCTCCTGATGATTTCCAAGTTCCGCTTCCGAAGCCCGTGGACTCGCTTTGCAAGGCCGACGGTGAGGGACTGGACTTCGCAGGTGGAGGCGGCGGTTTGGGGTGGACCTTTGGCAACGGGACGGTCGGCTTACCTCCTTTGGACCTTCGTGCGCGTCGACCTCCACCCAGACTTTGCCAGCATTGTCACGATCCTGACCAAGGAGTGGCTCCGACTTGGACGAGGCGGGCGAGGACGTCGCGGACTGCGTGTGGACGATGCGCTGGCGGCCGTGGGCTGGCGCACTCGTGGCAGCTGGTGGCTCACCCCGCTGGGCGACTTCGTGACCGAGGAGATGAGTTTGACGGGGTTTCAGGAGCGCTTGCGAGAGGCTTGGAGGCGGGAGCTTTGGAGGCGGGACACCAAGACGGCTGGGGCCCTGGCAGCCACGGCGACTCCACTGCTGAGGCCGCACAGAAATTTTGCTCGGGAGGGCCGGGTGGCCGCGGCGGCCACTGATGGCCGGGACCTGGAACGGCTCCACGCACCCAAAGATTGCCCCTGTGGTGAGCCGGCTCCTTCGAGGCATCATTTGACCTTCGATTGCAGGCTGAGGCCTAGGAGAGGCGAATGCTGTGCGCAATCGTTGAGGATGAGGGCTTTGACTTCCCCGCTGGCCAGGACGTTGAGGGCCAGGTTGGCTTGCTTGCGGGCTACCTGGCGGCGGCCGAGGACGAGGTGCTGGTCGCGACTGACGGGGGTGCCTACCTTGCTGGCGAGCACTACAGATGGAGAGCGGCTTCGTGGGCCGTGGCTGTTGGCGAGCACGTCGTGTCGGGCTTGGTCGAGGGCGAGGAGCGCACGGCTGCGGCTGGCGAAAGGGCAGCCTTTGCCACGCTTTGCAAGGCGGTGCGGTTGACGGGGAGGCGTGTGCGGGTTCTTCTGGACAACTTGGCCATTGTGCAGGGCGCGCGGCGGAGGTTCACCGCTGACTTCGAAGAGGAGGAGCTGTGGGCTTTCTGGCAGTGCTACAAGCAGGTGCGGGACCTCATGCAGTTGGCCTGGGTCCCTTCTCACGGCAAGCAGAGCGCTTGGGCTCCTCCAGACGGCTGGCCGGATGCTGGCGCGTGCCGGGCCCTCAACAACTTGGCGGACGAGGCGGCCACAGCTCAGCTTTCAAAGACGGCGCCGTGGTTCAGGGCCTTGGAGGCGAAGATTAAGGAGGGCGAGGCCTGGAGCTATCGGGCGTTAAATGCCCAGCTGCGCGCCACTGAGTCGTGGCATGCTGAGCTCAAAAAGATTGTCTCGGAGAAGCGCACCCTCACCTGGCGGGCAAAAAAGCTGTCGGCGGCTGACGAGCTCTACCTCTTCTTTCTCTTCATGGCGGCGGGCGGCTACATCGAGTCAGTGTGCCGTCCTCATCGAACACTACTACTACTTATAAAGATGATAGGGGACGTAGGGACGTTCTTCATTTATCCTCGCACTAAATGGTGGGTTTATATGAGAAATTCAGGCTTCGGGTTTTTCTAACTAAACTCACCAGAATTCAGAGTTTCAGCCTTTGGGGTTTGCAGTCTAAAGAAAAAGCATGATAAATTCAGGGCCTTCCGATTTTAAGTGCTTCGGACTTCCGGATCTTAGATCCTAAGGTAACGGCCGTGCAAGGCTTCAACCCTAAACCCTAGACCTTAGGCCCTAAACCCTAAACCCTAGACCCTATACCCTAAACGTAGTCTGGGTGTAGAGGGTTCAGGAATGCTTCGTCGTTGAGTTTGTCCGCCAGCACAACCTCACAGATAAGGAGAGTGCGGTGTGTGTCAAAAGATTCGAACAAGCTGTACTGGATTACTCCGGGCAGGTTTTGGGGAGACTTCGCCTGGGCATCGGTGGAACTCTACAAAGAAGAGGAGAGCCAGTTTGGCACTCTCGTACTTCTGTCGAGCAGGCTCCGGACCCCATAAACCAAGTTCTGCCTGTAGTTGCGAGCTAGCCATTGTGGGCTGGTGGATGCGTGCAGAGTCCCTAGAGAGAGACGGTTCAAACGGCTCCAGCGCAGCAAGCCTGTCGTTGGTGAAACGACATTTGCACGCACGCAGCCCTAAAATCTAGGTTGTTCCAGGTACCCAAGTAGTACCCCGTTTCCCCCTTTTTATTTTCGGATCTCCTTATTAAAGCTGAACATTCGGAAAAAGGGTACCCTCATGATTAAGAGGTTATTGGGGAACCGAGTGTCAATAATCCTGATGCTTTCAAGTTAGGGTCGCTCCCTTTGCCCTTAAGAAACCCAACTCCCTAATACTTATTCACTCACCCCCTAATAATAAATGAGATAGAATCTCAAGTCCTTAACAGGGACAATCAAGGGATTTGTATAGGGTACTATTATATTGGCTATTATGGGGGATACTAGGAGTTTAGACTATAGCTCCAATGGCTGTAAGACATTGATGGATGAACTTTAGGAGGACCCCCCACCCTGTAAGAGTGGTATAGTAGGAATATAATAGGACCCATATATAAGCTTTATTATCCCTTATGCTCACTATTACAGGGTGGGGGTTCCACCTAAGATGAATTAACCGCCCTCTCTGTACTCCCCTGCCTCAGGTTCCCCCTTAATGAGGCCTGCTTAGGATCCAGCTAACCTAAATCCTAAGCCCTAAACCCTCAGTGGTTACATCCTAAACGCTACAGGTTTAGGGTTTAGGGTTCCAAAATCCTATACCCTAAACGCTAAACCCCCTAAACCCTAAACCCTATACCCTAAACCCTAAACCCTAATACCCTAAACCCTAAACCCCCTGAAAAAGGTGACGGCGCGCCCCGTCGTCCAAAGCGCGGCGAGTCGAAACCTGAGAGTAGGGATGGGATAGGGATTGATCCTCAGAGTTATTTGCGTAGTACTTTATGTGGGGATACTATGGTACCCAATATAGAGTAAGATTATATCCTCCTTTTGGGGTATAGTATTTTATACAAGGGATATTGTCTTACTAGGTTCAACCACCAAAAAAAACTACTCATTTGTTGGTCCGGAATTTTTAGTTTGGTGGTCCTGCATTGATTTTGTTGATCCCTTAGCCTTAGGGGCTACCGTGGATATTGGGCTTAAGGTTGAGGGTTATTGGTTTGAGGGTTAAGGGTCGAGGGTTCAGGGTTTAGGGTTAGGGTTGAGGGTTAAGTGTTGAGGGATAGGGTTTAGGCTTGAGGATTTAAGGTTTAAGTTTCGGACTTCGAGTTGAGGATACTCAAATCCTGCACGACCCCAAGTACGCTAAACAACGGTCTTTTCTGATAGTATAGGCCGGCCATGCAAGATTTTTATGTGTTATCGATAGGGAATAGGGGGTTTGGGGTTCAAGGGTTTGCGGGTTGGGTGAACGGATGAGGGAAGGCTTCAGGGAATCGGGTTTAGGAATTAGGGTTTAGGCTTGGTTGGAACGGGTTTTTTGATTCGGGTGTACCGCGGTGAAGGAGTTAGGCTCACAGGTCAGGGTTCAAAGACCTGAGGGTCAGAGTTTAGGGATGTCGGGTCCTTGTCGTCGAGAATCTGGAACCGGTCGATGCCTCCCTTCCACAATGCAAGTCTAACTGAGAAGCACTCTCCAGTGTGCTCTCCAACTGGAGCTGAAGCAGAATTGGAGCAAACCCTAAACCCTAAACCCTAAACCCTTTAGGGTTTAGGGTTTAGGGTTTAGGGGGTCTGGATTCAGCCCTGCTATCAAAACCAGAAGAATCAATGGGGTGAAGGGCCTTGCGGGTTTAAGGCTTGTTTAACAGCATTTGCCTTGGACTGTAGTACTTGTGCAACTTCTTGTGTTGTTATGCCTCAAATACGGTCCATGCTACCTGCCCTCCTCAAAGTAACTTGGAATCCACCCAGAACGGTAATCTTGGGATAGTAATTAGAAGATAAAGTGAAAACTATTACAATGGGGGTTCACAATATGGGAGAATACCCCAATAATGGAGAATCAAATGGAAAAGAGAATGGAAGATTAAATTGACACTGGGATTATTAGCAAAGACTAGTATCTTGTTCACCAGGTGGCTGCTCAGCGTTCCATGCTATTTTTGCTATTCGTCCCCGATTGGCGAAACAATGCCCCACGTCCTCTAGCACTACTGCAGCCTTCTCGCTTCATGGATACTTTTCTACATTGCAAGACAGCAGCACAACGTAACTGCGCATCGTCTCGCTTAAGGCTGTACGGCTTACCTAAAAACTGTGATCCCTTTTTCTCCGGCAGGAACCTGTTTGCGTGGGCGCATGCAAGAAGATTCCATCTAGTTCATACATGTTCTTCCTTGCAGGGCTCTTCCTTTTGGTAGCGTGAGAATAGGAGATCCTTTGTGCTCCGAGTAGCACCTTTGGCTCAAGGGCCAAGAAGCACCCAAGCAAGATCTTTTCGGAAAACAGGATGGCGATTGTTTGCAGTGTGGGGTGAAACCCGAAAACTACACCCTGAAAACAAAGCTTACTGGTGCTATCTTGGTTCTTGCCTGAGCTCTGCTCGAGCACAGCAGCGCGGAGCCATGGATATGCGCACAGTTGAGGCGGGACCTTAAGGGCCCAGTATGCAGCAATCGTATACTTTAGGGCTTGAGGGTTTGGAGTTGTGGCTTAAAATTGCGCAGATATTCTGGGATTGTTATATTCGGAACCGCCATTCAGGGTTTTCAATGACTAGTGTATACTCTGGACCCTTGTGGGCAGGGTTCCAGGGTTGAAGGTCTTGGATCCGTGTTTGCCGCTGAGCTCGTTCCGCGGGCTCTCGTGTTCCTGATACACACAGTCCTTCGAACGAGCTCGAACTACATGTTTTGATACAAGAGTATCAGAGAGGATAGAGTTCAGGGTTCAGGGCATACTGCATGTACACGTATACAATAAGCCTCGCTGCTTCGTTCTACCGGGCACACATGCATGTTCGCCCCGCGTCCGTCGAAACATACAGTCTGACATAAACACATACCCAAAGGGTCCAAGTACCCAATAATTGGGTACTTGGGTTTTGGGCAATAGTAATTATAGTACACGTTTTGGGTAAGTATATGATTATGAGGTACTTGGAACCTTAGGGATATGTTTAAACGCTATCTCGCGCCCGCCTCGGCTGGCGGGGCGCGGAGCACACGAATAGGTCATGGCATGTAGTTGGCACGTGGGGTTTAGGGTCGAGGGAGTAACGGAGGCAAGCCTCACTTCAGACGTGTTTGTTGCATGCCTGTTCCAGCATTCATGGAGGGGATTGGTGCAATTCGCCACTACCCCGCGCCCAGATCCTGAATTTTGTCTGATCAGAAGAAGGCGGGGAGAGGACGGGGCAGGGAGGGGGGGGAGGATGAGGGGAAGGGGGCGGGGGGGGGAGGAGGGGCCAGGGGGGGCAGAGAGGGTGGTCTGCAAGGGGGAGTAGTGAGGGTTTGTGGAGGGTTCCAAACGCCCAGGCTGAATAGCCTTGGCGAATTTATACATATATACATTTTGGCATACGTATAGATATATATATATATATTTTATACAGATACCGAGATCAGCATATAAGACACATACACATGATTTGCTCTGGATTGTGTATGCGATCTGAGGGGAACATGTGGCAGTCAGGGAGAGGACAAAGTGGAGGCCAGAATGGCTGCCAAAGCCCCTAAAGTCCCAAATCCCCAAACCCGAATCGAAATCCCAATTCCGCGGCCTTGACCCCTAGTCCCGAACCCTATCCCCCGAAACCCTTCTCCCCGTAAACCCAGGTCCCTAATCCTTAAACTCGAAACGCCAGTCCCTAAATTCGCCAAGTCCCTAATCCCCCATCCCCTAGGCCCTAAAGCCCAATCCCTAAACCCTCAGCCCAATCCCCAAACCCTCAACCCTAACCCCTAGTCCCTAACCCCCATCCCCTAGTTCCTGAACCCCAATCCCTAAACCCTAAACCCAGTCCCTAAAGCCTAAACCCTAGTCCATCCTGGTTAAACCCTCAACCCCAGTTTAGGGTTTAGGGACCCATCCTCAGAGCCAGGTCTCAGTGCACACCATGGCCGGCAAGACCGTGACTGTCCAACTTCACGGTCAGGAAAGCTTGCTCTACTTACGCCACCTTGCCTCCGGGATCTGTTTACTTGTCTAAAGGGGGGTGATATAGGCAAGTATATAGGGTTTGGGGTCTAGGATTTAGGGTATCTGGTTTACGGTTTAGGGTCTACATTCCTGAAAAGAGGGTTATATAGGGGATTATAAAGGGTTCAGGGTTTAGGGGTTTAGGCTGTAGGGATTTTGAAAAGGGTGGTTGATGGAGCATGGACACACTCTGGGGGTTGCTCCGGTCTTCCAGGTTGCTATAGGGTTAGGCTTCAGGGCTTAAGGTTTGGGGTTTAGGGTTTAGGGGTTAGGGTTCAGGGCTTGAGGTTT